AGGGAATCTTCATTTCTTTTGCTTGCTGATTTGGGGTTTAATTTAGAGTTAGCGGTTGGATTGGTTTTTAGCGCAGTTAATTGGTGATATTGAGAGGATTTCGGTGCTGGGTTTTTGATTTGTTTGATCATCTGGGTACTTCTATTGAGCTTGTTATTGATTGGTTTTTTGGTATTTTTGGTCTCTGTATGGATTGTCACCTATCTTTTCTGTGAGTCTTCATGGGAGTTTTGTGAAGGGAATTCATTAATTACTGGAGTTTAGTGAAACGTATTGGCATTTTCATGGTTATCAAAGCCTTATGATAAGTGGGTGCTGTTTAAGTGCAGTGATTGGATGAACTGAAGTGAGAACTGAAGCAGGCATGGCTGAAAATACAGAAGTTGATGAGCAAGTTGATCTTGATGAGGACAATTACATGGAGGAAGAGGATGATGATGTTGAAGAGCAATTGGATGAAGAGGGAATTTATGATGGTGGCAATGCAAATGGTGGGAGAAATTATGAAGAATATGAGGATTCAAAGGCTGGGACTAGTGGGAAAGATGAATCATCGGATACAGAAAGAAGGCACGTTGCCAGGGAACATGTGGAAGATGAAGAAAGGCCCAGTGCTTCCATTAGTGAAGAAGAAAAAGAGAAGCATGCTCAGCTACTTGCCCTGCCTCCCCATGGTTCTGAGGTTTTCATTGGTGGACTTCCCAAGGATGCAATAGAGGAAGACTTGAGAGATCTTTGTGAACCATTAGGAGAAATTTTTGAGGTTGTACCTTTGTCCTGTGTGCTTGTGATGTTCAAGCCTTAATCTTTTATTTGGGAACTCATGGTTTTAACTTTTAATTTAAATCATTTTCCAGATAAGGTTAATAAAAGATAGGGATTCTGGTGAAAATAAAGGTTATGCTTTTGTTGCATTCAAATCAAAAGAAGCTGCAGAAAAGGCCATCGAAGAGTTACATAGTAAAGAATTCAAGGTACTCATGATGCCTATTGAATTTAAATCAATGTCGGTTGAACTTTTGAATGCTTAAAATAGACTTTTTGAGGGCATGTGTCATTACCATGCCTGTTTTAGGTCAAGGCAGTTTGGTATTTCGTTTGATCATGGCATAACTCTGCAGGGTAAAACCATTAGGTGTTCTCTGTCTGAAACTAAGAGCAGATTATTTATCGGCAATGTTCCAAAGAGCTGGACTGAGGATGAGTTCAGAAAAGTCATCGAGGATGTTGGACCTGGAGTTGAGAACATTGAACTCATAAAGGTGGAGTTTTGACTTTGATGATGCTTTAAGATAATAATAAGATTGAGTGCCTTCTAACCACTTTTCACCATTTCAATCTTATCAGGATCCTCAAAATCCAAGTCGCAACCGTGGGTTTGCTTTTATCTTGTATTACAACAATGCCTGTGCTGATTATTCTAGGCAAAAAATGTCAGGTTCAAATTTTAAGCTAGATGGCAATACCCCTACTGTTACCTGGGCTGATCCGAAAAGTACACCTGATCACTCTGCTGCTTCTCAGGTATCTTTTATCAGAGTTACCCCCAGAGTTATCGCCAAGCTAAGTCTTTAGATTTAGTTTCGATTGCCTGCTTCTTCTTCTTCTTGGATTGAGTAAACGTGTTAATCTATGATTGTTTTCTTTTGCATGTTAAGTGTATATTTTTCTGGCCAACTTGCACAATAAGTGTGGAATTTTTCACTAAATCAATGGGGTTGTGAACCTATAGTTTTCTAACTTTTCTTTTAATATCAATGAATTGACGTTGGCATCAGTGGTTCACTGTTTGCCTACTTAGCATCCTCATTTAACCTTCCTACTGCATTCCTGTATCTACCATGCCTCTTGCTTCAGGTCATTGATTGTCAGGAATCTTGTAGGTTTCCAGCAGCATTCTTTCTGCATAAGCATTAGTTAGTCAACTTGCTTGAGGATATCCTGCAAAAGCAAATGAATAGAGTTAATGGTTGCTATCTTGGAGTTAGAAAAATCAACACTGAAACATGATTTTGCAGTTGCTTGCTTGCCACTGAATGATTATAACCTTTTGGTCTTACAATATCTGGTTGTATTGGATACCCAGGTAAAGGCACTCTACGTGAAAAACATACCTGAGAACACTACTACTGAGAAACTTAAGGAACTATTCCAGCGCCATGGAGAAGTCATAAAAGTGGTTATGCCACCTGGAAAAGCTGGGAAACGAGATTTTGGGTTTATACACTATGCTGAAAGGTCGAGTGCATTGAAGGCCATCAAAGATACAGAGAAATATGAAATTGATGGTACTCTTCTAATTTACTTGCTGCTGGTCTGTAGGGTGCAAGTGTAGTACAGGCGGGCAGTGTGTACTATCAGTAGATTATATTTGAGCTGCACATTATTCTAATAAGTTTAAGATTGTGTTGAGTAACAAGAAGCATTTTAATGGCAAATAAGTAGTAAAAGTTTTATCATAATGAGGGAAAGATATTACAGGGTTGCAAACTTAATTAGGTTTTACTAAATTTGAAATCCAGGAGTGATTTGGAAGCATAAAGCTTCTAGAAGTATCTGGAAATTATTTATCAATTTATGGAATTTAGATAGAGGGGGTTTTGCAAATCCATATATTTCTTATTGTGGCGTTTAAAGATAGAGACTTTTAGCTGAATGTATCCAAGAATTCAGCTTTAAAGTTGCTTTTGCTAGCTATGCTTGCTATATCCTCATGAATGTGTGAACGGATTTCTACTGCAGGCCAAGTTTTGGAGGTTGTTCTTGCTAAGCCTCAAACAGATAAGAAAACTGATGTGGGTTACCCATACAGTGCTGGCCTTCAGCCAAACCATCTTACACACCCTGCATATGGTGGTTTTGCTGGGGCTCCATATGGTTCTGTGGGTGCTGGATTGGGTGTTGCCCCGAGTTTTCAGCAGGTAAACTGAACTGCACTTATCTGTGGTTACAGGATTAATCTCAAGTTTTTGATTTGTGGTATAGTTTCCACATTGATGGAGTTAAAACTAAATTTTGTATGTAAACAGCCAGTGATATATGGTCGGGGACCAATGCCAGCAGGGATGCATATGGTACCAATGGTTCTACCAGATGGCCGAATTGGCTATGTCCTGTAAGTTTCTTCTTCATGCAAATTTAGTATTTTCCATGTAAAAAAGTATAGATTTTCAACCATTTTTTTCTCTTTTCTGGAAACGGGGCAGTCAGCAGCCTGGAGTACAGATGCCATCTCCTCGTCCTCGACGGGTTGATCGGAGCAATGGTCCA